GGAACCTCTTATTTACATTGTTTACTTACAGTTTATGGCAGTATAATGTCTTTTGTTTGCCAGTAGTAAACGTGCACCCTGATAACGTAATTAATTTGAAAAATTAACAAAATAATTTGAGCTTTTTGGCACACAAAAGTGTTCTTATCTTGGAGCTTTGTATGAATATTGTTGAATTACTGAAGTCAGGGTTTTTAGTTGCTTTTCTGGACACCGAAGTTCTTAGAACTATAATTAATAACATACTATTTTAAATTCTGACTAAATTAACCCTTAAAGTTGGATGAAATTCTCCTTTATAGTATATGTATGCTATTTTATGGTCATTTCAGACATTGACGAGCCAGTTTACCATTTGCAGACTATTGTGTTTAACTTTTTGTGTTTGATGGAAGAAAGCAAGCCATGCAGGTTTGTAAGGACACAAGAGCATGAAAATGGTGAACTGTCTCTTTAAGGAACATCAGAGATGTAGGTCTATTTGCTAATTTCCTGAGGCTGATTCTACCCAAGGGATGACTCTGTTTAACTTGGAGAGATCTTTTGCTTGAGGATTTTCCTAGATTTCTGTGCGAGCATCTCAATCTCGTCTGTGCAAACTTTCAGCTCTCTGCCAGAATCAATACATTCCTCCTTGGCAATGGAGAGCACACCTTTCAACCAACAACTTTAATTGCATATTCAAGAGGGGTAGAAAAAAAATCAGCATGGATGCAATCACTCAAATATTTAGCCTTTTACAATGTCTAATATAGAGACATCTTTGATCGGGTCAAGCGCACTGTGTAACAACCTTGAACTTTTTTCTTGGCATCAGGACAAGTCTTAGAGGTTCATGTTGGTGTAGCAAAAGTTAAGCCAATGCTTTAATTAAGCTCAGCCATCTGTCTGGGAACCAAACTTTTGACTGTGTATACACAACTGCTTTGAGCTACGTATACTTTTCATGAGCCGCTCTAATGACCTTACAAAGCCTCAGACATCAAAGTGATTGGAGCATGTAATTAATACTAATACTGACCACTTTGTCTACTCATGGTTTAATGTTATGAGGTTATGATGTGCTTTTTTTGATAACTTATCACACTGATCCTAACATTTTCAAAGGAAATTTCAACATGACTAACTGAGCTAATGATCATAGATAGTGTGTAGTGCAGATGATACTGGAGTTGTTGAATAGTGTTAACCAGTTTGACTTTTGCTAAAGGGTTGAGGTGACATTAAAAGTTACACAAAAGCAGTGTTAGTTCAGTATTAATAATGAGAATTTTAGGTAAGTAAAATTATGGATGCTGTGATTCCCCAGATTCCCTCTTATGTAATTGATTATTTTGAATCAAGGATCAAACCTACTTTTAAATAAAAAAAAAACAAGATTTGATCTCTCCTTTTTTCAAATGTCATATTTTTTTAACAGCTAACATAGGCTTTTTCTATAAATGTAGTCCTATATACATTTCTTAAGATTGTGAATTATGTAGCCAGAAGTACGTATGGCTGCATTTTAAATGCTACGGGGTGGTATGACGCAGTTCCTTTTCGTGCTTACCAGCTGACCACTTATCTTTGTATGGGCGACTTTCCCGCTGTTGGCAGTTTTTTCAGTTAGCTTACCAGGAAAAAAAATTAAAAATATATATTAATATATATTAATATATAAAAAATGTATTTATATATAAATAAATAAATAAATAAATAAATAAAATAAAATAAGCAAGTAAATAACAGGGTGAGAATGTGGTAAAATCTAAAAGTGTGGTAAACAATCAGGTGGGGGGGTTTCTTTTTTTTTTGGATTGCTTTTAAAAACTGTAGTTTGGGTTTAGGGAACGAGGAGGTGGGTCTGATGATCGGTCAGTCAATCAGTTATTGAAACAGTCAAACAGTCAGTCGACAGTGGCCTCTGATGAATTTACGTGAGAAGAGCAGGCACAAATGGTGCTTGTGAGAGGAATTTGAGATCTCAGAAAGCATACACAGCAGCCTCTGGTGGATTCCCGAAAACAAAACTGAAAAAAAAAAAAAAAAAAAAAAAACGTAGCTCCTTGGGCGTATTTGGTGCTCTCCAGAAATGTATATAGAGGTATGTTTTCAGACTGAACCTGGGTTGCAAACAAACTTAAATTCTAAATGACAAATTTGCATTCTTCATTAAATCCTTTCTTTCACTCAAAAGTCTATTCCTAATGTTAGTTAACACTCAAATTTTTATTTACTCACTACTTAGTCTCCCTAAAGTAGTTCCAAACCATTAAATTTCTTTTTTCTGAAGAAGATATTTTGAAGAAAGCTAAAACCATGTAACAACTTCCATAGTGGGAAAATACTATGTAAGTCATTGGTGAAATTATGCTATCTTGTTTTCAACAAAAGAAAGAAACACAAACTAGATTAGAACAAGTAAAAGTTGAGTAAATTATGACAGAATTAAAAAAAAAAAAAGCGGAACTATCCCTTTATTCCATATAAGCTCGTTTTTAAATGTTCTTCCATCGAAACTCATTTCCAAACTTACTTCATACTGTACCTTCAAGATGTTTTAGGTGCATGCTCATATCTTTCTTTCTTCCTTCCCTCACTTTACCTCCCTTTCCCCCTTTTTCTCCCTTCCTTCTCTAATTCCTTCCATACATCTTTCCTTCCTGCATCCTCCTCCTTAGCTTTTTCCCTTCCTTTCTTTTTTCTCACGCTTCCATCTTTCCATCCTTTTCTAGGTAGGTGTGAGGAATTGCAGGTTATTAATATCTTTGTTTGTTAATTTAAATCTTGTGTTGTTTGTTTGTCATTTTTACTATGGTTTCTTAATCCATGTCACCACCCACCTTAATTAATATTAATTAACATCAAAAACTATTTATTAAGCAGTGTAATTCAAGATAAGCAGTTTTGTACAATACTGAAAAAAATGTTTACCTGTTTGGGTCACATTGCTAATAGAAAAATCCTTTCATGTGCTCAATGAATACTACAATGTAAAAATGAGCATGATGTTAACAGAAAAAAAAATTGAAATAAATAATGAATTTCTATGTTTTTTTTTTCTCATCAGTTATGTACATTAGAGTTCCATGTTACCTGTAATTTTGGTAAAGAATGATTATTGCATTACTTTATGGTGTTAGTTGAATGACATTGAGAACACCTATATATATTGAGCACATACCTATATATATACTAGTAGCCTACAGTAAGCTGTTCTGCTTGTGGATACGCTGTTTGTGATGAGCAATTGTTTGTCATATGACTTTTATATATGCTACAGTATATGGTTTAGTTTTAGTCAGTGTAACAAAAGTAAAATGTGTAGATCAGCATTGGAGAGAGTTACTTTAGAATATAATGCATAACAATATTGAGTCACTCCCCAAAAAGTAACGAGTTGCTTTACTTAGTTACTTTTTATGGCAAGTAATGCGTTATGTTGCTGTTCACCTACTTTTGTGTTTTGTGTCTTTTTCCTGGCTGAGGCCTAATCTCTTTCAGAACTTGTTGCGTTTTTTTTTTTTTTTTTTATATGAAGAAGTAACAAGACATTGTATAACCTTCATTTACCTTTAAAAAACATTTTAAAAATGTAGGATATTCTCTTTGGAAAACCACCTGACCCCAGAGCTATACAAGCCATATATACAGATTAATGAAAGTTTAAAGCAATGCGTTTGCTACTTTTTTGTCTTATTAAAAAGTAAAAAGTAAAAGTAAAAGCTGTCAATTCAGATAATCCTCTTTTCCTTTTCTTCAATGTACTCAAAATAATGAGAATATTTCTATTGCAATAATGTAAGGCAAGCCTTTGCCATCTTCATTTCTGTCTGTTCCTGCATTCCTTCATCGTGTCCGGGATTTAACATGACGAAGTTCATTTTAATTTCAATTCAGCCCTTTTTTTTTTTAAGTAAATTAACTAAACTAAAAAGTAACTTGCATTACATTATTTAAAAAGTACTCAAATATTATTACTTCATTTTTAAAATGTATGTGTTACTTTACATGTTACTCAGAAATGTAGTATAATACTATATATATATTACTACATAATTTGTGTTACTTGTAATGTGCCACCCCTAGTACTGGTGTAGGGTCCGTTTAATGCTTGCAGTGCTTTGTTCAATTCACACTGTCAAAATGAAACATGAAAAATGCATTTCAAACTTGTCAATTAATTAATTGTCAAATGTAGAAATTTGTTTTATGGCTTCTATTGTATAATTAATTTAAAACTTTTAGTTAACAACAGTTGCAAATTTTTATTCAGTTTTTTTATCATATTTTGTTATTTTTTATCATATTTTTTATATAATAATGGCATATTATTAACAGAAAGATTCTGTCAACAACAGCTGCTGTTTTTGTTTTTTCCCTTTTCAGTTTTTTTTCTTTGTTTTTTTTTTATTAGGTGTACGACGAAGTCTTTAAGCCAATGCAAAATGCTACAATATACCACTTGTTACTTTTGCAATTATGAATGTTTATTAGGTGTTTGTGGAAGATTACAACACCATTAATGCTGCCACAGGTGTCAGATTTCCCAGCTGTTCATTTCGTTTATAACAAAAATTATTTATGGCAGTCACATTTAGTCACCAACACAATTATAGTTAATGAAATGCAGTGCTGATACAATGGGCAGTAGAAACGCAGATTAACTGAAACACTGCTGAGTTTTCTGTGTGTCATACTGGGTTTAAAAAGAGACAAAAAAAGAAGAACAGTGCAGAGTTTGATATGTAGAAGTGGATATGTTTACAGGCTATAACACTGATATTCAAATCCCTGTTATGGGTGCCATATTTATTCTGTTTATTAATTTCATAAACCTTTGACTTGTCCACTAATAGACCTTTGATGAGACATCATTACAATCTAAACAGAAACCCTGTCGCTGTTAGTGCTTTTTGATGATATATGATTCACATGATTGTGAGGGACAGTTCACCACACACCCTTCCAAACAATTCAGTTTCTAATTGGCTAAATTTTTCTTTCTGTCTCTCTAGGTGGTGGAAACTAATCTTGTGGCTTTTGACTGTCACTGGATCATCATAAATGAGGTGAGTTCTTTCTCGCAATTTGATGAGAAATCCAGTTTATTATTTTTTCTAAGCACATTTGAATATATTTGCATCTCTACATATCTATTTGTCTAAGTGAGAGGCGGACAAGGGCTCATTCAGAGCTAGATGAAGGTGGCCAGATAAGGACAAATTACTGCGCAGTGATTCAAATTAGATTTGGCAAGCATGGGAGTAGCGCTCTAAAATAATTCAGCGCTTTCTTTAACGAATAAAGCATTTTTCCAAAATGATTATGCGACAAGGAAAAGACAATGAAGATATAAAACCTTTACCCACCAGCCTGAATTACAGCTATTTCATTAACTTAAAAGTCGCTCTTTGTTTTAACCTCTATTAATCTCCCTGATATTATTTAAAAGGGTCGCATGGATCACTTTTCCATTGCTCTATTTTTAAATAAAACCCTATGTATACCATGAAACCAACATAGGCTTATTCTAAAAACGTAGCCCAATATACATTTCTGGAGATTGTGAATTGTGTAGGCAGAAGTACGCATGGCTATGTTTCGGCTTTAAAAGTAATGCTACGAGATGGTATGACGCCGTTCCTTTTCAATTCACGCTTACCAGCTGACCGCTTACCTCTGTATGGACGGCTTTCCCGCTGTTACCAGTTTGTACAGTAGCTCGCCATGTTCGTTGGTGGTTTTGAGACGCAGATGCGGTTTGAGTCTGGTGAAGAACAGTTCCAGAAATGGGTAAGACAAAAACAGAATCAAAAAAATTAAAAAACAAATAAATAACAGGATGAGAATGTGGTAAAATCTGAAAACATGGTAAAAAAAAACAGCGATGGCGTTTCTTTTTCTGGATTGCTTTTGAAAATTGTCAGTTGGACTTGGGGAAGTGGGTGGGCGGGTCAGTCAGTACATTGGAAAACACTATTGGTGGGGTTTAGGGAGCGAAGAGGGTGGGTCAGCCGATCATCAGTCAGTCAACAGTCAGTCAATAGCAGCCTCTGGTGAATTCACGTGAAAACAGCAGGTGCGAATGGCACTTGCGAGAGAAATTTGAGATCTGAAACCTACACAGCAGACTCTGGCGGACTCGCGGAAACAAAAACTGCAAAAAATTTATTTCCTGGGTCGTATTTGGTGCTCTCCAGAAATGTATATGATGGTACGTTTTCAGAATGAGCCTGGGTTGCATGAAACTATATTTCTGAAGGTGAATAGATTCTGTGTTTATAAATTAGATTTAATGAAAGAGAAAGTGAAAATGTGGAAAAGTGGACCAAGCAGAAGCTGTTGTGTAGAACAAACCACTCTGTACATTTTTAAGATGTCTGAAAATATGATGAAAATGGAAATAGGGGATAAAAGAGGTATTATTGAGATGATCATGAAAAGTTAAATGATTACTGTGTCTTGCACAAATATATTAACCAAAATTCTAAACGAACTAAAAAAAATGTAATGATAATGAATAAAAAAAAATTTGAATAAATGAATGATTAATGGACATCACGGTGGCGCAGTGGGTAGCATGACTGCCTCACAGCAAGAGAGTTGCTGGTTTGAGTTGGCATTTCTGTGTGGATTTTGCATGTTTTCCTTGTGTTCGCATGGGTTTCCTCCCGCTGCTCCGGTTTCCCTCACTGTCCAAATACATGTGGTATAGATGAATTGGGTAAACTAAATTGTTCGTAGTGTATGTGTGTGAATGAGTGTGTATGGATGTTTCCTAGTGATGGATTGTGGCTGGAACGGCATCCGCTGCCTAAAACATATGCTGGATAAGTTGGTGGTTCATTCCGCTATGGCAACCCCTAATTAATAAAGGAACTAAGCTGAAAAGAAAATAAATAAATTATTAAATGAATAATAATAACAATAACAATAATAATAATAATAATAATAATAATAATAATAATAATAATAATAATAATAATAATAATAATAATAATAATAATAATGCACAGTCTTAAAGATTTTCATGGGTTTGAAATTCCATTTAATAAAGTTAGTTATCATATATAATATATTGTTATGTTGTTAAATATGTTGTTAAAAGTTTGATACTTAAGTTAGCTTACTGTAAATGTGTGACCACTCTTATTTTTCACATTTATTTTATCTTCAATGCTTGTTTTTGAATGCAGAGATTATGAATTTTTTTATATGATATGGATCCCTACCACATTAAACAAACAAACAAACAAACAAAAAATAGCTTTTTTTTTTTTTTTTTTTTTTTTTGTAATTCCATCCGATGTACTAACCCTCCCTACTTTGGGCAGACGGAGTGTTAAGTGCATCTGAGAAAAGTTGTATGCCCTCCTCTATTAAACACAAAGGCACATGACATTACCTTGACGTGTCCCTGAATGGACAGGCATTGCTCATGGTCGGCCTTACTTGACAGCACACATAGGGGACAAAACAAGTAGCTGCCAAAGCCTGAACCCTAAAATTGGGCCATAACCCTGTAGGCTCATATTTGTGTCATCCTAATTTAGCGCTCCTAATTAAGCACCAAGGGCCTTTGCGTTTGTCATCCCAGGCTAGAATAAGCCACTCAAAGTCAGTATTTTCAGGTCTGGAAAAGCATGATGTCCTCGTGCTCTTGAAAGTTGAGAAGCGGTGCACTATAAAGTCCTCGCTTGCCCTCTTGTCAATTATCCTCCATCATTCCTATTAATTAACGGCAGCACAAACATTTTTTGACAGCATCAACTGCGCGTCAGGTGAGATTGTGAATCATCCGATCAGAAAACTTAACAGTGGCTTTTCCGAGAACAGGCTGTATTGTAGACGACTTTAATTTGAATCTTATTGAAGGCTAAATGGCTTCGACATCCCAAGTAAGTTCCTCGCCGGCAAGCCACAAGTTCAAATTTAATGACGTACTTCATGAGAGCCAGTCACCAGCAATCACAGCTTCGCAGGTGAGAATGAAACTCAAAAGTGAAGGCTGTCAGAGGGAACAGCTTGGCCGCTCTGAAGTCTGCCTTCACTGGGGGACGTTCCCTGTCCATTCTCATCACATCATTCCCAGCTCACTCACTTCACTCTGGCCGTCTGTGGGAGAAGAGAGAGAGAGAAAAAAAGATGGCTTCAGGCTAAAATTAGCAATCATTCCTCCCAAGGCTGCGCAAGGACACGGGAGCGCAAGCGGTCGTGTCTTTCCGCCTTTTGGCAGCACTCTGAATACCCATTCATGAGAGTAATTGTAATACTAATGGTGATTTTTATGTAGTCATGTTTCTTGTATTTAAATTGGGCCCGCTTTTTAGCTAACCGGAGACTGGAGAATTTGACCTTGAGTTGATGAGAGAGGACAACTTAACCATGTGTGAAGAAAGTTTAGTGTGTGTGTGTGAGGACTGGTGTTGAGAAGTAACATTTTTTTTTTTTTAATGAAGGAGCAATATTTGTTAAACAGGAACTAATTCTTAGCTGTGTTGTTTTGTATTTATTTTAAGGGAACTTTGCTCAAGAAAATAAAACATAAAAATCTGGGTTGTCCATTTAACTTCATTTAAGTTGTTTTAACTTAGTTTATTATTTATTTATTTAAATATATGGTTATTTAATTAGGTTTAAATAGTTTGTGTTAATGTCATTTTTATTTTATTTTAGTTATGTTAATTTATTGATTTTACTCATATCTGTTTATTTGAGTAGACATTAAAAAAATGTGTTAGTTTAATACTTTCAGTTTTAACCTGTTAGCCAGCTCTAACTTTTGGGGATTCACACCTATTTAACTTTAAATAATAACAGTTCTTGACTCCAGTGAGCTACAAACAAGAAATCTAAAAAATAAATAAAATCTGAAAAAAAATATATGAAAGGTTATACATTATGAAGTGAAGTTTTTTACCATGTTCACTAACTTCACTAATTGTTTATACGGGTGATACTGCTTGTGACTACACAAAACATTTTATATTATTAAATTTGACTAATGCATGCTAATATTTACAATTTATTGTAGTGTTATTACCTTACCTTATAAGTTAGCATGAGTTTATTTATAAAAAAAAAAAAAATGGAAGTGCATTAAAGGAATTTTAATGCAAAATTACAGCTGCATAGATATAAATGTAATTAACACACAAATATTAATGCTGGGAAAATGTAATGATACTTTTTAAAATCTGGTAACATTTTAGATTAAGTTTAGGTTAAGTCACAATTCATGCATAACTACTGGCTTATTACCTGCTTTTGTAAAGATTTTTTCTGCATCCCAAATCATTCACAAAACCTAACCCCAACTTCTACCTTACTTAATATTAATAAACTGCTATTAGTCGTTATAAGGCTATTAGTTTTAGGTAATTTGTTACTGTAAATCTTAAATATTAACATTTAATATTAAAAGTTGAAAATGTCTTAATGAGTGAGTTGTTCGTTCAAGCGATTCATTCAAGCAGATGATTCATTCAAGAATGAAACTAATTTAAAAAGTCAAGTGCTATTTTGTGGTTTTCACCTGGATTTTGCCAACCCAAACTCAAAAGGTGTTAATGCAAAGATTTGGTATTATTTTAAAGATAAATTTTAGAATTTTCTTAATGCACTGTTGAAAGTGACTACAATAAATATGCGTATATATTTTTTGTAAACTCAAATTTGAAAGTGTGCCTTTTATGTTGTGTGGTCTAGGTTGCTGCAATTAATTTTGGTGGTATATGCACATGTCTGTAATCATAGGAAAAAAGAAAATATATGCATAATAATATATGCAAAAGTTATTCTATTGCAACTGATGAGAGAACGGAACCACTTATGGGGGTATTGGACCAGTTACAATTACAATTAGATGTACCATGTACCATTACAATTAGAATTAAAAAAAAAATATTTTCATGAAATGAATGTAACAGTCAAAATTGACAATGTTTGAACTCAAAATACAATCAATGTTATTTTTGTTGTAATTGTTTTGATGATATATTATGGTTAAGTCATGTTTCTAGGTTGTATTGTATTTAATTAATGCTTGAATTTGATTTTTACCACATTACTGAAAGTATTCAGTAAAATTTTAAGTGCTTTTTTCTCCTCTACATGTCTCACACACAGACACAGACCCTCAGCTGAAAATCAGGGTCATTCTTGCTGTAATTTTGGTGCTTTCCTAGTTTGATGTTTTAGATTGTTTACAGTCAGGCAAATACAATTGTCATTTGCCCCTCTTGAAAAAAAAAATCATATTTATCCCGGACAAGCCTTAACGTTGTGCTCTGTTAAAATAAAAATTCAATCCACTGTGTTACACTCCACTGCCGAAGTCAACCTTCTCTTGGATATAAGCTCTGGATATAATATTGAAGAAAAATAACCCATAATATACATTATATGCAATTTAAGCCTTTGCCTGAGTGACTAGTCTTTAAACTTTTTGTTGAATGAACCATGTAAATTAAACATTTTCACACTTCTATATGAAATCTGTGTAAGTTGCCAACAGAAGAATGGTTTCATTTAAAGTTATGAAAATGTCACGCTATATGAGAATAATAAGACTGAGATTATTGCAGTTGCCTGTACAGTAAGTCAAAAGAAAAGGAATGTTTTATAGAGGTAGGCGCAATATTTCGGCTTCTACAAGCCTCATAGATTTATTTGGAAGATGACAATAGTTAATAAGAAACGAAATATAAAAAGATAGCATTGTGTTTTCGTATTTGATCTCTACCCCCTTTTTTTCTTTCTCTCAACCCAAAGTTTATTTTCTGAAGCGAAAAGCGTGATTTTAATATTTTTTCAGAGACCTACTTTTTCTTTTTCTATTCAAGTGTGAAACAGAAGTTCTTCTCAGCAAGATGCTTTTTATCTCTTCAGCCTATTTACACTGCACACAGAAAAGCCCATTTTCTTCTGACAATATTCTTTTTCTTTGTGCTTTTCGTCTCCTGTGGTGTAGGAGATTTCAGACATGGATGTGCAGGAGCTGGTGATGAAGTCTATAGGTCGCTTGACCCTGGTGAGACAGACTTTCCCATTGCCGCAAAACACCAGCCAACGTTGCGTCAGGAACAACCACCGCATCAACACTTCCCTCTGCGACCCCAAAGACCCCAAGGCACAGATGTTAGAGGTGTGATTTATTCTCCATACTCACATTTATTCACATCCAATCAAGCTAATCATAAATCATTTGCCTTCATTTCCTTTTTTTGATTGTGTCCATTAACTGTCATCATTAGCCTTTGAGCAACTTCCGCAGAAAAGTTGAGACAAAAAAGTCAATGTGAAAATTAGCAGCCTTGTTTTGCTGTTTGTTTTTTTGTTTTTTTGTTTTAGCTCTTTTCACTATGCCATTGGGTGCTGCTTCTGTTTTCAACTATTTATCTTACTGAGTGTGTTTTCCTAAATGTTAATTTACACCATTGACAACCCTTATGGCAGATATGATTTGTGTTGAATCATGTTAAATATGATAAATATTGCATACGTTATATGGTGTTATTAAATATGCAGAAAGGGTTTAAAATACAGCATGTATTTAAAATACCAGTCAAGGTATTATGTGAACAACATCTTGTCTATGATCAATTTATTTATGTTAATGTTTCTATTTTAAGGCAAGCTTTTGGATGTTAGTTTCTCTCTGGGGTGATTTTGTGTCTTAATTTAGCCATAACATTTTCTGTGTTTCAGCTAACAAAATGATTTTTAGAGACAAGTCTTATTTTCACACATATTTCGAGAAAATGCATTGAATAATAAAGAATAAGCTCAACAATATACTCTGGGCAAATGTACTACCCTTTTGTTGATGATTGGGATGAAAACATTCACTAAATTAAACTGCTGTAAAAATGTATCTGATACATATTTATTTAATTCTTTAGTAAATCAACCTCATTTCTGATCAAAACTACTAAATTGCTTGGAAAATTAATGGGTTTTAACTCTTTAATTGCCAAATTCATAAATTATGTCACTGATTTGGTTCAAAACACACACATGATGTATTTTTAATATAAAAATTTATTTTGGAGTGGATTTTTTTTTTTTTTTTACCTTTTATCAAAGTCTTGGACATGTGAAACAATATTGGCTTTGATGCATTGTTTTTGAATAATTTTCTTTTTTTTTTTCTCCCTAATTTTATTGTTGGTCACTGTTTTTGCCCTATTGACTTCCATTATAACCACATTGTTTTGATTACAAAACCATGGCACCATATAATCATGCATTTTTGATTGTTGGTGGCTTTCCCTATTGGTAAAAGGTAAAATTAGTAATTTTTCTGTTGTTTATCAATTGGCATCCTTTAGATGTGCAATGTGCAAAAAAAAAAAAAAAAGAAAAAAAGCTTAGTTTCTGGATTTTATATGGAGTATAACAGCAAATTAAAGAGTGTGTATGTGTGTCTGTGAGTGTGTTAGAGTGACCTTTATGCACTTACCGTGATGTGCCTGGGAAAATCAAATATGCATCTCAGCTCTCAGAGCTATAGGGAGTAAATAAAAACAAAGACTGTATTTATGCACCATCAAATATGGTTATAACGGAAGTCAATGGAGCAAAAACAGCCACCAACAGTAATTAGGAGGAAAAAATGAAAATTTAACAATGCATTAAAGCCATTGTTGTTACTAATCGTTTATGTCCAAGACTGTAATAAAATGTTTAAAACCCAATCCGCAAATACTTTTTTATAAAAAAATACGTCATTTTGTGTTTCGAATGGGTGTTTCAAACCGGCATAATTTCTGAATTTGGCAATTAAATAGTTAAAATATTATAATTTTTTAATCAATTTATAGTTTCGATCAGGACTGAGGTTGATTAACAGATTTATGCCAAAAGAAAATTGCATTGAAAGCACAACAAGTCAAGACAGCCTTATGATTGATTGATTGATCGAGTGAGTGAGTTAGCTAGTCTACACCTAGTCTTTAACACATTCTGTATAAGCAGTTCATGTTTAACATTAAGGATACAGGATCTGCTCCCTGTCCAGCCTAGAAGAGCTCAATTTTACCCTGCGTTCAAGCGTATCGCATCCCTCTTTCTCAACATATATCCCGCTCTCCCTTTGGAAACCCCTTCACACCTCCCATTCCCTCCAGACCACCAATCACTCATTGTCCCAGAAGAGATTCACTTCAACTCCTGCACTTCAAACAGACTTAATAGATTTCCCTGGTCAGCCGATCTTCTCCCCCCTCAATTTAACCCTGTCTTTGTCTGTTTACCCCCTTGGCAATGGCAGCTTTGTTGCTTCAGTGGTCTCAACTCTTTCCACAAATGCTATATCATAATGTCCTTCCCGGAAAACAGCCCACCCCAAAAAAACTGCAGCGACTTATGCCATTTCACTTTGTGTCTGAGACATGAAACATAAATCAATAAGTAAGCCCTTTTGAGTTTTTGCTTTACGAGATGAAAAAAAAAAAAAAAGTAGCAAAATGGGGAAAAGCCACATAGCCAGACAAATAAAATGCTGTTGCCTGGTAGTCGGGTGGATTCTCTGTCAAGTCTGCTTCTCTGGGTCATTGCTCTTTTGTTTGCCTATTCTTTTGGAAGACGAAATGTTGTTTCGTGGAAGTCTGGAAGTGTAAATACAAGCACCACCTGTGTTTCCGCTCTGTGTTTGGATGGTGAGCCCCACTCCATAATCATGTCTGACGTTGTTGTATGCTAAACACAGTCTTTTTTATAGGCTGGTGTACAACTAAAACCATAGCTGTGTCTCATTTCAGAGGCTGCATCCACTGAAGGGTGCATTAGAAGTGACGCAGCGCGACGAAGGCCATCTCATTTCAACAAAAATTTGAAGGCTCCTTCAAACGCAGCCTCCAAATGCGTCCTTCGTTTCCCAGGTAATGAAGGACACAACTGGTGGATCCTTCACGGCCTTGAATGTCCCAAGATTCATTGCGCGCTGATAACGGCAGGACGCTTTTAAAAGAAAACTCTGGTTTACATGTACGAATTGGGTTTATTTTACGTGGATGTGTAAACACATGTTGAAAAACAAAAAGAGTATGACGTGTCTTTCGAAAGAGTAAATTTATAGACAGTTTACATGTTTGTGTGTACATGTATGGATCAAAGGAAATATATTTCCAGCTTTTATAAACCTTGTTTTGCCTTTAGATTGCTTACAATAAGATTTAAATTCACTTAGGAAAAAAAGTCATTACAAATTTTATTACAGCTTATTAACGGCAGCTGTTACGGTTGCTTGGTGACGATATCTGTCTTTTGTCGGCTAGATTGTCTCATTTTAAAATGCTCGGTTTGGCCTGTATGGACTTGAAGGACTCAACTTTAAAGTCTGCATCCTTCGGATGATGCAGCCTCTGAAATGAGAAACAGCTATAGAATGCACAAGACGTGTCACTCGTATACTTTTGAATAGGGAAAAGTATAACTGTCAATATGGCGAATGAAGTCCCACCTTCTAGTACAGAAGCCAATCAGTGATCACTATATGGTGAATAAAGCTCACCTTCTAGTACAGAAGCCAATCAGCGATCACTATATGGCGAATAAAGCCCACCTTCTAGTACTGAAGCCAATCAGCAATTGCTATAGAATGACAATTCTTTGTTAGAGGGGATCCGACCAGACGTGAGTTTCTGCAGATTTTGTGTGATACGAACATTTAGAAATTAAACTAAATAGACAGTTGTTATTTAATTTTAGCGGTTATTTGTAATATGAAATGTAATCATAAGCTTGACAAGTAGTTTTGGAGAAATTGATGTTTCCCCATTTAAACAGAATGCCCGAGCATACTGCCCGAGAAGCGTTTCAAGATGGCCGCGGAGTGAAATGACTTGCCTTAAAGGGACTTTGTGTACAAACATGTTGTAAAACCAGGAGAATGCTGATGACTGACTAAAATGTCAAATTATGTACAATTAATAAATATTAAACAATAAATAATTGAAAATGTTCACATTCAAAAAATACATGGCATGGATATAAGGCAGATGGATGGATTGTATGCTTTTAATACTCTTCTAACTAAAGGGTTGAATAGCTGAATGGATGGACGGATGGATGGCATGTTGTTAGCATGTTTTACTGATACTGACTTCATGGATGGATAAATGGATGGATGAATAGCATGTTTAGCACTCTGTTAGCATGCTGTTTTAAAATGTTTTGTTTACACACTTCTACTCTACTTGCTCTAGTTGAAATGTTATATATAGTTGATAGATTGTGCAGTATAACATTGCATTTTGTGGTTAGATTTAGTAACGTTGTTAACATGTTTTGACAGATTGCTAATATGCTTTAGTGCATTGCTAGCTTTTATCTAGTTTCTAAAATGTTTAACACATTCCCAGCATGTGTTTTATTGCTAGTACGTTTTAGCAAATTGCTTGCATTCGGTCGACTACTAGATTCGAACATTACATGTCTAAACGCAACAAACTGCTAATATACAGTTTCAGTGTGCGGTAAAACTACCAAAAATCGTTATCGTTAAGAAAATTTCAGAAGCTAAGAAAATGATTCATCTTTTATGAATCGTTCAAATATTGATGTACACACTGTACACTGTACAGTGTACAACGCGAGTTTTCATCTTAGCCTAAAATGTGATGTGAATTGTGGCTGTTCTTTAATGCAACAAGTTGTAGCTTGGACCCAGAAACAGTGTTTGCTACATTTTAAGCGGATTAGATGAGAGCATCATCCCTTTCGACGCCGTCATTTTATTCTTCAATCTCCTTTAAAGCCAGTGTACATATATACTACATAATTGGCTGGTAGTTTGGTGGCTCTGAAAGCCATTACAGTTTCATAGCAAAGCATACCTGCAAATGCCTGTTGATGGAGCCAGCCGAGCATGACTCCTAACATAATTAGAATAGCCTTTTCTTTGTTAGCTGGTGAGCATCTTTTCAAGGCTATGGTCGTATGAGGATAGCTTACCTGATGGATTGCGTTCTTGACAATTATTGCAAACCAAAGCTGATGGCAAGATGTTTTTCTCAGCTATTTGTCAACGTGGTTGGGATTACTAAGACACTCGATACAGTGTCAAGTATGTGGGAGCAGCGCAGGTTAATAAACAACGCTGAAAGCCTAATGACCGCTTCACTCCATTTATTACCTTCTCATTAAAATGGAGACAACACTTGGGCTTGATCAGAGCTGTGCAATCGATCAGAGTTAAATTAACTACCTCCTTTGTGTCGACATCGCATGATGCAGTGCTTGTATGTGTGTGTAGTCCCAGATTGTCCTGTATGATCAGAAATGAACAGAATTGCCTTTATTTTAAATTAGTGTGTTTTATTATAACGTCAGCGCATTTTACTAAGGATTTTACTATTTCATTTATCTTCAAGCCTAAAAGATCATGTAAACTCTCAGTTTCTTTAGATTTATTGGCTTTATTAAGTATCACTTTGTATAAAATGTAATAATGTTTTTAATCTGTAAAGACCTGATAACATTTTTTTTTCTCAAATTAAAATGGCATGTTTATTCATTTGAAAGCGATTTTTTTTGTTATTCCTCCAAATATGGATTTCCTAACTCTTAAAGTTTTAAGAACCCCTTGAGTACTAAATTTTAATTGATTTGTGTGTGTTAAGCATCAGTTAAAACAACTTTAGCAAATGTCACCTTTAATTATGGGGAAAACTGGAAAATTGTGAGCTTTTGTCAGCTAATTTCAGCTTCCGGGTTTAAAATTATTTTTGGGGCGAGATCAAAGTCAGTGACCCAGCGTTGATCTGCCTGTCCAGTGATGACACATTGGTTTCTCATTATTATTTATAGCTGAGTTGTCTTATCCTTTAACAAAACCCTTCTTTTTAATTACGGCACACAATATTTAGCTGTTTATCAAGGGTCGTATGTGTTTGTTTCCATGATCATCTGGGTTTGTTGCATGTTTTTCACTGTGATGCTGTTAGGGCTGATACAGCAAAGCTGTTGGTTTGCATTAAACATTTTTGTCGAGAGAGCTGTACGAGAATTGGATAATGGCGGACTTTAGCCCCTTTCACACAGTGATACCGGTAAATATCTGGAAAATTTCCGGAACGACTTTACCGGTATATTCAAAAAAGCGCTGTTCACACAGGCGAGGACGTTACGGAAATTTTCCGGAAAAGAGCATTCACACATCCATTCCAAAATACCGGTAAATTCTGACATCATTCACCACAAATGAGCTTTAAACGGCTGCGCTTGTATTTGTAAACATTTAACTAAATTACAAACTCTGTGGATGATCAATATTGTGAACAACTTTCGCAGGATCACTTTCGCATGTCGAGATGTTCATAATATGTGCGTGTGCAGGCGCTCACAGGCTGTTTCACAGGCACACGCAAAGCTTGAAGGTAAACAAACAACGGCTTATCATAAGCATCTCATCGATGATTATTTACACAGTTGGCATTAAGAAGAACATATAAACGTGATCTGACTAACTTCTAGCAGCTAAATGTGTCTGGAAAAATATTCAAAGGCTTTTATTCTCACAAACCACGCGGACGTAAATGCGTCTGACTGTTGTGATTGGCTAAAGCAGACATCTCACGTCAGCACGTTCTAGACGTGCACGCGCTTATTACGGCAATCTTACTTCTGCATTCACACAGCGCAGCATTCCGGTAAATTGCCGGTAATGTTACAACTTCTCTTTCCGGAAAATAGCCAGAACGAATTTACCGGTATTTTCAAAAAGGACCTGTTCACACATACAACCTTTCCGGCAAATTGCCGGCAATTTTCCGGAAAGGTCTGTATGTGTGAAAGGGGCTTTTGTCTTTTATCAGTTGCGTTTGTTACCATTCAGACACATCGCCTCTGTTCATGCTGCTGTGTTCGCCTGTGTTTAAAATGCTTCAGATTACCAGCAAGGCCGATGGTTGAAATAGATAGGGCAAGACACCCGCTGCACTGCTCCACTGTGTCTGCATTCAGACCCTGAGATTCAGGAGGAGAGAAGTCTTCATTTATAGTGTTTATATAAACACGATTATCTTTATAATATAATCAAACAAATTGTGGTCATGTTAATTTGAAATTACAAATAACACATGTACTGTTTATTTCTTTGCGTTTTAACTTTGTTAACTATAATATCATGGGTCTCCCCAAGTTTTGTGTCTCATTTGGTGAGCCAACTAAACTGACAACAGTTGTTCGCTCCCCTCTTTTTTTTTTTCTCTCCTCTGTTGGCCACACCCACTCCTCCCTCTGCTCGCAGTATTTTTTGAATACTTTTTATATTGAACTGAAAGAGGGGAGGTTCGTGATACTTTAAGTTTAACCACTAGTATTGTGTTGTCTAAAATTTATTATAAACATTCTAAATATTTATTCAGTATCCTAAATAACATCTTTAAAATTGTAAAATTGTTTTACTTGATAACTAGCTGTACGTCACAAATCCAAAGAAAGTGAACATGTTCTATTTTGTCCTTAGCTACACTATAAGTAGCTGTGTTTATGTTCCATGTCTTAGGGGTAAAATACAAAAATAGAATTTGGATTGGGCATAAAAGTGTTTAAACTGTAGTATATTTATGCATTTTTTTTTACAAAATACTCTCTTTTTTCCCCATTTCATTTGTTGTCTCTTCAGTTTACATTTATTTGTGTAAAATCGACTCTTCACCTTTTAAAAGCTTTAAAAAATACTTCCATTGTACCATCACATTTGATGTCCCTTGTCAGATATGAACACTAAAGCCTATGTGTGCCAGCAAACAATTGCCTGGCATTACTGTAAGTGTGTCTTTTCTATTGCTTATTAAACTCTGCTGTTATCCAGGGCTTGTTCAATATGAGCAGCCTGTTGTCATTTCCACTGTAGAGACCTTTCATCCCAGCTGTACCCATTCAGACATAAATCTTTTTTTTCTTGTAAGAGAATATTAATCTGGTGTCTCTGGGTCTCTCCGCTCACGTTGTCTGTTTCTTTTCTTTTGTGGCTGCTTCCCTGCCGCTTTTTGTCTTCTTGTCAGATCACCAACCGCTACATCTACGACACGGTGCTGTTGCTGGCCAACACTTTCCACAGGAAGCTGGAGGACAGGAAGTGGCACAGCATGGCGAGTCTTTCGTGCATCCGCAAGGGCTCCAAACCCTGGCAAGGTGGCAAGTCTATGCTGGAAACTGTGAAGAAGGTACAGTATTTTGCTGAACTTTACTCTTAAGATGACCTCTTACCTGTCATATGTCAGCTGACAGAACTTTGCAACGTAAACAAACTATTTTTCTTTGAAATACTGAATTTAGCTGTTGCAAAATCAATAACTTTAGACATTGATTTGACCACTGTATAAGTAACTTAGCAACTGCATTTCAGCTAGTAGTAATTAAAGTTATGGTACACTTTCTAATACTATACTGTATGTTGTTTTATATCATAATAGACATTCCACACTCTAGTAAATGCTGAATTGTTTTAACCCATCTTTGGGTCAAATGTGGACAAACACATAAGTATCTTGAATATATCAGTAATTTAACAAGTACATGTATATCAACTAATTTAATTGAATTGAATTTATTTTAATTTAATTTAATTTATTCATTTTCTTTTCGGCTTAGTCCCGTTAATAATCTTGGGTCGCCACAGCGGAATGAACCGCCAACTTATCCAGCACGTTTTTACACAGCGGATGCCCTTCCAGCCACAACCATCACTGGGAAAAAAGGACATTTAGCCGGGAATCGAATTCAGGTTGCTGTGAGCACCTTGGTGCTTTTTGTCATATATATATATTATAAGAAATTGCCAAAATTAGTCATAATCTTGAAAGTATTTTACATTTTAAATAATAATTTATGGATTTTATGGTAACTGGTAACACTAGTAGAAAGGTATCAATTATTTAAAACGTGCTGGATAAGTTGGCGGTTCATTCTGCTGTGGCGACCCCGGATTAATAAAGTGACTAAGCCGAAAAGAAAATGAATGAATGAATGAATGGTTTAGGATCACAAAGTCATTTAAATTTTTTGCAAACTAAATAATCTAAATAAAGATTAAACTGATGAACATCTTTTTTAGTGAATATCAATTATCAAGTATGCTTAAATTAGCATACTGGCTTCAGAGGACTTTGGATATAGTCATAGAGTATATATGATTTTTATAGTTTTAAAAAATAATTTTATTGAAAATGATCACAAAATATTACATTTTTGTGCCTCTCAGAAGAAAGAAAACTATACGTTCATGTAGTTGGAACAGCATAGAGTAATGGGCGAAAGTGATGTCTGGAGTGGACAGCTGTAGAGTATTTTCTTATTCTCGTTTACCTGAACATTTAGCTGACCACAATTTTATGTAAATGATAGAGTGTTATTTCTTGGGGGGTATCTATCCCTTTAACATTTAATAGCACATAAATGCATTGTAAGATCTAAAAGGGCCTGTGAAAATGTTGGCAGTACAAAGTGAAACCTGACCAGGCCAGCAGAAAAGGTGTAAACTGGGAGCCCTGCTGTGATTAAAGAGATGTGATGGACTGTGAGTTTGACCTTGGATTTTTTTGCTTGAAAACCAAATGATTATTCAGTTTTGAGGGCCATAATGAGGCCTTGTTTACACCTGCTATTAAGATGTGTTTTTGTCAACTTGGTAAGATATGCATAAGATTATAAATAACTACATAAATGTCTAAAAAATAAGTCATGTCCACTTTTGACCACACTTTAAATGTAGATGCTTGTGTGGTCCAATATGTTTATTTAGCCAAAAAAAAAAGATCACATACTGTACTATTGGCTTAATCCCAAAACACTACTGTACATGAGATGTTATTGAAGTGTCTTAATCTTAGATATTTGGAATCAAAATTTTGATTTGAAGGCAAAAAGTGTAGAAATCCCAAAAATTTCTTACCATTACTCATTCTAAACTCACACAACTTATTCAATCGCACAGTTTATCCAAATGTGCCATCAATAAACAGTTTAGTTTGGCCAGAAGAGAAATGGCCATGCCCAATTTAGCCTGGTTTCACTCAAGTTTTTTTTTTTTCAATCACTTTCGCAAATTGGTGAAGTTTGTTCCTGGCTGCTGTTGCCACTGGCTTGCATGGTTTATGACTTGTGGAGCTGTGCATCAATCAATTTGCTCTTCAGTGTTTGGACACTCAGCAGTAAATAATTAACTCACACTGAACTGAACTAAACTGAACTTAAACTCTGAAAACTGGACTGACACAATTTCAATTAAATATAATCTTCTATGTAAAGCTGCTTTGACACAATCTACATTGTAAAAGCGCTATATAAATAAAGATGAATTAAACTGAAATAAAAATTAACTAAACATAAGATAGTACTAGATAGTAGGATAAGTACTTTTTTTGAAATGTATTTATGTACTTCTTGGAAAAACACTTAAAAGTACACTTACAGTAAGGGTACTTGACCAGATATTTAAATTTTATTTCCACTTTACACCTGTCCAACTGCTTCTTAATGTAAATGTCTAATCAGCCAACCACATGGCAGAAACTCAATTAATTTAAGCATCTAAACATGTATCACAATGGGGAAGACAGGTTATTTAAGTGACTTTAAATGTGGCATGGTTGTTGGTGCTAGACGAGCTGGTCTGAGTAATTCAGAAACTGCTGATCTACTTGGATTTTCATGCACAGCCATCTCTAGGGTTTACAAAGAGTGGTCAGAAGAAAAGAAAATATCCAGTAAGTGGCAGTTCTGTGAGTGCAAATGCCGTGTTGAAGCCAGAAGTTAGAGGAGAATAGCCAGACTGGTACAAGCTGAAAGAAAGGCAACAGTGACTCAAATGACCAATTGTTACAACTGAGGTATGTAGAAGAGCATCTCTGAATGAACAACACGGTGAATCTTGAGCCGGATGGGCTACAGCAGCATAAGACCACATCCGACGCCACTCCTGTCAGCTTAGAACAAGAAACTGAGGCTACAATTTGCACAGGCTCACCAAAATTGGACAATAGAAGTTTAGAAAAACGTTGCCTGGTCTGATGAGTCTCGATTTCTGCTGTGACATTCGGATGATAGGGTCAGAATTTGATGTCACCAACATGGAAGCATGGATCCATCCTGCCTTGTATCAAAGGTTCAGGCTGCTGGTGGTGGTGTAATGGTGTGAGGGATATTTTCTTGGCACACTTTGGGCCCATTAGTACCAATTGAGCATTGTGTCAATGCCACAGCCTACCTGAGTAATGTTGCTGACCTTTATGACTACAGTGTACCCATCTACTGATGGCCACTTCCAGAAGAATAATGCACCATGTCATAAGGTGTGAATCATCTCAAACTGGTTTCCTGAACATGATAATGAGTTCAATGTACTCAACTGGCCTCCACAGTCACCAGAGCACCTCTGTGTACCTAACATACATATACATAAAATGAAATTACATATTCTAAGTATCTTGGTTTGTAGTTGTGTATACTTTTTTTTTCCTAAGTGGCCTATTTATACCCACGTAATATTACATTTAGACAAGGACTTCTGAGTAAAAATATGCTCAGTAATGACTGCAGCTTATTTAAAATTTGCTACAACAATGTGCACACTGTTGCAACTATCCCTAGTGGGAGTATATACTGTATGTGTGTGTGCACGGAGGACATCACATGTGAAATCTATGTGACTTTTCTATAAGGAATACTGCTTTTTGCAGTGTCCTTTCTTGTTCAAATGCAAGGTTATTCCACAATATTTAATCAAAGTTTTACAAAAGGCATACACAGGCACCCGTCTCCCCTCAAAGAAAAGATCCACATAAAAACATCAGATTCAAGGAATGTGTGTCTCTTGTTGTCTTCTGATCCAATCGACCAAATTGCATCTTAACAGGAGATGTAAACAGAGGGATGTTGTGATACAGTGAAACTCTCCTCCCTGCCTTCTGCCTGGTGTACAGCAGGGCTACAGAAATGGCACACTGCCTGGGGTGAGATGACAGTCTATGTTACAGGGCTAGTGACTGAGTGCTGATTTAACACTGTGTTTGGTGGGGAACGGCTTTCCCCCCTGAGGGATGTACTGTTCCTCCTGTATCCACATGTATCTGATCCTCCCTGCCATCCCGCAGTAGAGATATCACCTCTCGGCCGGCTCTCACCTCCACATTGCAGCTTGTGTGACAGTCGTATTAAAGCAGATCGGGACGATTTATTCAGACACTGGGTGACCGCTAGAACACAGTCTCGCTTCGAATCTGCCTAGATTTTTAACGACCTAGTTTCAAAGGGATGTCTGGGAGTACATATTATATATATATATTTCGTAATGGTACGGAGTGTTGCACACTTATTTTACTGTACATCAGCTGCATAATAGCCTTGTATTCAATTCCCGACGGACTATTTGGACTGGAACATTGCCTTACGGCTTAATTAGGGGAAGTTTGTGTGAATCGGCTTTACAAAGCAGCAGTTGGTGAACTCATTTGGAAAGCGCTCATCAGCTATTATAATTGGCTGTCTAATTTTTTTTTCTGTCAACATTGGTATTGGTAGAGTGAATTTACAACAATTATCTGTCTGTTCATGGGGGTTTTCACTGGGCTGGGGGTGTTTTGGGTGCAGTTTTGAAAAAGGATAAAGATTTTTTTTTATTTTTCTATTTATTTTTTTATTTTTTGCTGGGTGGAATGAGACCGTGGAGGTATTTTGGAGTTTAAATGAAGAGGTGAAAAAAGAGGAGGGAAAAACGAGAGGAGGGAAAACATGATCAGCAGGAATTGTTGGACATAAATGTGTGGTGTTTTGCCCTTAAGACCTATGGATGCATTAGTATGGACGTTTTGTCCTTTGTAAGATAATATTTCATGTAGTTGTAAGCTAGTAACTGTTATATAAGCAGATAATAATACATTTTCAAATAATTTATTGTTTAAAGTAAACTTTAAAATAAACACAGAGAAAAACGTTCGAGGTTACTAAAGTAACCCTTCGTTCCCCGAGGAGGGGAACGGAAGCACTATAAGTGGATTTGATTGTAAAATCCACGCATTGGGAGGTTCGGTTCAGAAGCTACTCGTCTGAAAGAGTATTGAACGGGCCAATTAAGAATGAATTGGCAGCGCAAGCCTGCGCAGGTGAGCGGCATAAGCAATCAACTGAGTATATAAGCTCACCTGGCGCCAGCAGACGCTATCCTTTT